TATATATATATATATATATATATATATATATATACATATATATATATATACTTTAATCTTATTCATCAATGGTTTTCAAAGTAAAACTCACATTATCCTAAAGCGTTCTCAATAACAACCTGAAGTTTTAACCTCTTAACATCCACCTCATTTTGGGTAATCCTCACCTATTTTGCATACCCAAATGGCAAAGCAAATTACATGTGCAATACTTTATTTGAAAGCTAACACACTCTAGTTTCCTAATATACAATTTAAAATTGGGTGACTAGAACACGGACCAACCTGCATGAGTTCAAACATGACTCAAAGTTGTTTTTTTTTTATTCTCGGAAATTATGGGTCTTTTTGAACAGCAGTAATAAAGACATTCTTGGGAAAAGGCAAGTTTTATTGTCCTATATTTTTTCTGCGTCATGTTAACCACAAATGCAGAACATTTCAGACCTCTAGCTATAACAGTTCCAGAGCTGTGGGGTTTGGAACTTTTGGTGTCAGTTTGGAGCTGCGCGCAATGGCTCCACCTGCTGGTAAAAACTTTACCGGTGGAATTTTATGCATTCTGATTTATTACACCCACTTAAGGTTTTAAGAGGTTAAAACTAAATTAAAACCCTAAAAAGGGTCAGTTTCTATTGCAGTTTCTTCTGCTTGCACTAATAAATTAATAAAAGCATCTTACCTCGGCGCCCTTTTGTCTGAGAGAACACTGTCACTGTCGCCCAAGGTCAGCGAAGCCAAAGACAAGCTGGAGACTGAAAAGAAACGTTGGCGTGAACCTGGATGTGAGACAACAAGGTGTGGCACAGAATGACATGATTACAGACACCACTGATGGAAACAAAGCCAGCCATGTCACAGAGTAACAGGGTCGTGGAAATGATAACATTCAGACACCAATAAAATGGATGAACACAACATATGAAGACCTAAATAGTTTATGTAAAAATAATTCAACAAATAAGGGTTGGTTTCTTTGTTTTTGATGTTTTTTTTTGTATTTCAGTCTGCTAAACTTAAAGATGCGCAAATGCTTGTGTACTTTTCTCACTATTTATTACCCATATTAGCTTAATATCTTTAGATTTGCCACTAATAAATAGTAAAGCACCTATTTTCTTAGATAGAACAAGGATGTGTTGGACAATGAGTTGTATGATGGAACATCTGATTATGCGCTGAGCCCTTAAAGTTACCTGTGGAAGCTCTCACAGGGGTCTTCGGGGAGTCCATGCTGTCGCGGTGAATGGACTTGGGTCGGCCTCGCTTCTGCTTGGCTGGTCGAGGCTTGATGATGGTGTCCATGTCCTCCATCAGCTTCAGCTGCTTCCTCCTGAGGTACTCCTGTTTGATGAACTCCTTCCTGGCCTTGTCCTCCTCCTTCCTGGCACGCTCCTCCTCTGCTTTAAGTCTGAACAGGTTGCGAACAGAGGAAGAAGAAGAAATACTGAGATTTAGATCCAAAAATCCTTTCTAAGGTAACACAACCCCCACCGCAGTAAAAAATGGAGTTGATTTGTCTAATAAATAAAACTTTTTGAGTTGACATAATGGATACTACAATATTTAATCTTATCTAAATATTTGTAGATCATTTAAGTTATTTTTTGTCACTGGATTTAAGTATATCTGCATTCTTTCGTAAAATGTGGAAACCTCTTATTCTTATGATTTTATAAAGATTTAAAGCTGCAGTCGGGAGTTGGAAGGATTTGAATCAGCTGACCTTACAGCTCCCTGCCCATTTCTCTCTGCTCCTTTCACTAAAGCCTGCCCCGTGCAGCAGAGGGTGAATTCACAGGCAGGGTCACCAAGGAAAGCCAAATATCAACGTTGGTAAATTCACTCGTAGGGAACAAACATTACCAATATGCTTAATTTTTGCAGCACAATCTAAAGTGTGAATGATGGTGGGGGAGGAGTGTGAGCAGCACGTGCATAAGCATGACTGTCACTGCTAAGACAGTCCTGCTGGCTCTGATTGGTTGCTTTGGTGTAGGATCATTGCAAGAACAGAGAGGAAATGGATTATCTTTCTGATAGTCTACTGTCTGAATATAGAGACAGTTTTAACAGAAATGTTTCCAGATGTTACCGACTTTACCTTTAATAGAAAAAGAATCAATAAAAACAGAACAAGAAAATTCACTTTTAAATGAAAGAACTGAAGAAAATAGAAATTTGGTGATATATATTGGAATAAAACAAAAAAGCTAACTAATTCAAATTCTAATGTAAGCAAAGACTAAGCTAACTTTTTAGCTAATTGAAGGAAGAAAGATATAATTGTGCGTACCGAGCTTCTTCTTTCTTCTGCTCCAACTCAGCCTCCAGCTGCACCTTTCTCATTTGGCTCTCTTTCTCTCTCCTCAGCCTTTTCTCCAGCAGCGCTGCCCTTCTCTGTGCCATGTTCTCATCTGCCTTTCCATCCTCCTGAGGAAGGCAGTAGACATGAGGACGTTAGTAACTAAATGACTGTACTTACAGAGAATACAAATGACTTTCTACGATTGTTCAGAAAATAATAAAACTTAAAAATAAAGCTTATGACACCATTTATTTACAATGCAAATACTAATAGACAATGTAGTATTGAACAAGAAGAACAAATAGCACAGTTTTCTAAAACCTGAAAAGGTTTGGCGTTCATTTCTATTAAGCATTTTATTAAGCATAAGCTCCAGGATCCACACAAGGGGTGGAGGAAACCAACAAATGAAACAAAATGACATATGAATTAGCAAAAAAGAAAGCAATTTTTGAAAAATAAAAATCACAAATACTCAGTTTTGCCAAATCACAAACACCAAACAGGGGGAAACAGAAAATATGAGGAAGAAAAAAACTCGACACATATAAAAGCATAAATAAACAAATATAACTACTATGAGGCTACCTGGAAACTGATGTTTCCCTTTTTCTTTAATTTCACAATCACTACTATCTTCTTTTTGTATATATAGATATATTATATCTATATCTATATATATATTCTTTTTGTATACATATATATAAATATATATATATATATATATATATATATATATAGATATATATATATATATATATAGATATATATATATGCATTAAAGTGTATGTCTTACTGAAAAATATCTGAAAATGTTCATTTTAAGCATCACTGTACATCTCAGTATTCTGCAGTATAACCGCAACAATGGAAATGAATAAATAAACCACATCTTGTTGGTTTTGGTTAGACCTATTGCAGATAAATACTTTCAAGTTATATTCACAACATGCATTTATTGACTGAATGCATTTCTGTTCATGTTTAGGTCGAATAAAATTTAAAAATTAAGAGTCCTGTAAGTCAAATTTTCCTTAAGCTTCACATAAAAGCCAGCCCTTCTCCCACCCCACATTTCCACAGCTGTGCCTGAATTATTCACAGCAGCCCCACTTTTCTGACCTACATCACAGTCCAGACAGCAGCTAAAAGCAATCGCACATGGTGTAAAAGGAAGACATTGCTATCCACAGACATTTTTCCTAAACTATTAATCTTCTGATGTTTGGTGCAAGAAGAGTCTTTAACCAAAACAAAGATGGCTACCCTGTGTCACGCCAATGCAGTTGAAAGAGGTGTTTTGACTGTTCTGTCTATGTTTTACTGTTATTATGCTGCTATGTTATTTCTTGAAATAGTTGCTACAAAATAAACAAATCAAAATCTCAGATACACCTAATTTGATAGATTAATGTTTATTAAAATTACCTTGAAGAAGAATCCTCGGCAGAGCTTTTGCTCATCATCCAAATTCTCAGTATTCTCTTGTTCCAGCTCCAAATCATCATCTATTGTCAGATCCTCTAGTGACTTCACAACTGACAGAGGAACCTCAATCAGACTGATTTTGGCCTGGCTGGAGGGTTCTGGCTTTGAAGGTATCTCTGTAGGTGCCACTGTGAAGGTCTCTACCACCGGGTGGGCCAGAACCTCAGGGTATGAAGACTCTATGGTCGGTTTCAGATTAATAAATGAATCCTGAACTCTCTGGCTCATGGGGTCTGAGCTCTCTTCATAGGTATGGGCTTCCATTTCCTGGGTTGGGAAGTTTGAATCTTCTTCACCTTGTTCTCTCTGCAAGTTAGTGGAAGTGTAAGACGAGCTGGCAGCACAAATACTTGTGGGTTCATTCTTGGGGGAAAGGACTGCATCTGTTTCCTGGATGGTATCCCCGTCTTGGTCTATCGTTTCTGGACTGGCTGCTGCTGGCTTCTCCCCCATGTAAATAAAAGAGTTCATCAAAGGTTGGCAAGGAGAAAACCTGCGCAGCCTTGGGATGCTGTCGACTGACTGTGGGGCTGTCAGGACGCGGCTGTACGGCGCCACCTTCAGCTCAGTAGGCCGAGCGGTGCGAGGATTGCGTGAGTGGAAGGAAGCAGATTTACGTTTGATGTTGGTTGGAGACCGATGGGTGGAACGAGGCGAGTCGGCAGGAGAGGAAGGTCCAGAAGAGCGAGTAACAGCTCGAGGGTGTTTCTGTGGGGAGGGGTTTGTATGAGGAGGGGGGATGACCCATGCTTGCTGATGTTGTTGTTCCCTCATGGCCATGATCACTTCCTGCTGCTGCGCTAAGCGTTGCATCTCAGCCTGGAGGAATGCTAAAGAATGGTTGAGCTTTTCGATAGAACGCGTATACTCTGAGAGATCAGCTTCGGTTACCTGAGCATGGCTTTGGCCACCTTCATCCCCTGTGCCTGGTGTCTTCTGCCAACAAGAGGGGGTGCTGCTTTGTTCTGCTCCATCAGGTGTATCTGTCTTGCTCCTGCCAAATTTAAACGATGGACTTGCGCCTGTAGACTTTCCCTCTCCATTTGCTTGTCCGCCTTCATCACCACTAGCGGCTCCATCCCCCTTCCTCTTCACCATGTTTAGGAATGCCGAGTGGCCCATCTTCTGCCGATGCCTTGTAAAAGCTGCCTCCACTTTCTTTTTCTGAGCTTCAATGGCCTTCCGTTTCTCCTCAAGCCGTATCCTCAGCTGCACCATCTCTGTGGCCATGACCTGTGCAGGGTCATTGGGGGTAAGCTGGACAGACGCAGGTGTTGCCGGAGTAGTAACTGCTGACGTTGATTGTTGACGGATGGGGCTGTGCTCAGGTGTCGGTGCCCAGGAGACTGACAGTGGGAGCGCAAACTCTGAGCCCTCTGGAGTGGTCTTCATTGAGCTGCTGCTGCCTCTGCCTGAATCTAGTGCCGATGGACTGAGCTTCCTCATCTTCTGCTCAGCAAAGCTGGTCATCTTCACTCCTGAAGGGGATTTACTCTGAATACTTGGACAGGGGCTTGGTGTGTCCGCATCTAGATCCATATTTACAGAGCAGTCCTTCAAAGAAGAATCTTCATCCAACATGTCTTCTGTCCGGATGTGGATTCCAGTGTCAACCTCAGCAGTGTCTGTGGTGCTCAAAGGTTCTTTGGAATCCGATTCTGACACAAGGTCAGAGCCTACAGTAACATCCCTGGCATCCTGGTTGTGTAGGAAGAAGCCATTATTGATGCCTTCAACAGGTGGCCTAGATGGGCTGTGGATGATTTGGAGAGCTTCCTCCATAGAAGGAGCTGATGCCATTCCCTGTCCATTGGGGAAGGCTTGCCCACAAGGCTCTATTCCTGCAAGGCTGTCAGGGCAGCCTTCCTCCTGAATACCAATGCTCTGACAAATAACTGGTTGAAACGACAGGTTCCTCTTCATTCCCCGAGGCATGTGTTGAACCTTAAAACCAAAACCTTCATCAGTGCTGATAGATCGAACCATTCCATGTGTAGAGGAAGGTGCAGGATTAGAATCCTCTTTGTCAAAGGGGATGTCAAATGACACTCCATAAGGCCCAGACCTTAAATAAGAAAAAAAGGACAAAAAAAAAAAACAAGTAACTAGATAAATCTGCAGGTAGGTCATTAGTAGACAAACTAACTCATAGACCAGAAAGACCACGTCTCTGGTTGAATAGATATCACAGATGCTGACCTTTTTTCTTTAGGCCATGTGCCGATGTTACCATCAACAAAGGACATGGAGCTTGACCTCTTGATCTCTCCTGAGTTACACAAATAACCAAAAATAAATAAGAAAACCCCCCAAACAAAATCACCAAATAACACAGCCATTAGAAATTATAATTACCTGTATTACGAGGCTGGGGTCGAAGGGGTAAACTATAAATTTACAGTAAGTAAGATGGCGTGTCATTTTTTTTGCTTATTCTTAAGTGTAATCTTACGAGACAGCAAAACGTTACATAACATTGCTGGGCTAGTTTACCTGGGTCTTTCAGGACTTGGAGGTCTTTCCATAAAACTTCTCTTGGTAGCTTTGGAGATTGGAATGAATGGCATATTTTTCAATATGGAAGAAGGTTCTGGAGGGGCACAGCAGAGACAAAAATTGCTTTAAAGATGCCAAACAATAGTGTACTATTCCCTATTAAAATTCATATTTTTTTGAAAAAACCTATATGTATATATTATCGCTGTTTTTCTATAAAATATTTACAAACATATATAATGTACTTACCAGGGCCTTCATTGCCAAGCTGTCTTGGCTTTACAAAAGAGGGCTTCACCACCTCGAACCACCAAAACAACTCTGCCACAAACACCAGGTAGTTATTCTGAAAAGAAAACAAAAATTAATATTAAACACAGAGGAATAAACCATATTTAATAGCTCTGATCTACGGATTCTCTGAAAAAACAAACATGAATACTTTCAAAAAGTCAACTTCAACTAAACTGCAACTGCAATGCACATATTCCCCCATCGAGTGTCACTGTGGCCTCCAAGAGAAGCTGCACTGATTGAATTTTAATCAAGTTTGTTCCTCTCATTCCAATGGTTTCATTTACGGTAGATCATTTACTGAAGCATTCCTTTCAGTAGGTTAAAATCAATTCTAAGGATTGATACAGTAATTATTTCACTGATAAAGACAGTATTGGAGACAGTATTAGGCAAGTGTTAACTACAAAAATACAAAAAGGTATCTTTTTTGTTTTTATGTTTTCTTTAACACCGTGAAACCAAACAGTTTACCTACTTCACAATGGGAAAGCTGTTGATTTTTTTATACTGCTGTGTCAAGGCATGGCCTGTTTAAATCAGGTCAACATACAGTAGGAGGTAGAGCTGACAGATTTCCCTGCTCTCCACAAAGATCTATCATAATAACACAGCAAATGTGTGATAAATGCTGCAAATGCGAGTATACTTTTAGAGACACTCAGAAAACCAAAAAAAAAAACCTGATGTTAAACTTGTAATCATTTCAATAGAGAAAAACTCTCAGCAGCTTCTTGTTTTTTTCTGAAAATGCATTTTGAGGTTTGTTAAATGAAGTACTCTTAACATCAATATGCAGCATGTTAGCTGTGAAGCAGGAGTAACCTTGAGGGAACACACCCTCTAACCACCCCTCAATCTATGGTCCCCAGACAAAGGCAGTGATGCAGAACTCAGTGCCAAAGATACCTGATTCACTTCATCAGCAACATTTTGCTCGGCTAAGCAAAAACCAACACTTGCACAACTCATACATTTAACTTAAAAAAAAACAACAACCCTTAACTGAAGGCTAAAAGCCCACCGGGAGGTATAGAGGCAATTAACACCACTGATACTGTGGCTGGTACTGCAGCATTTTAAGGCTTTTCTTCCTCTGATCCCACATGCTCCTGCACAGAACTACAAAATCAGTCCAATGTAGCTGATGAAAGTAAAACGACACATTGTTGTTAAAAAGCACAAATAAAACTTCCTTTTTTACTTAACATTATCCCTTTAAAATTCTACACAGACATTCTAGTTTACCTTTGAATATGTTCAGCTTGCAAAACATCCCTTAAGGCTTTGATGAATAGGAGAAAAAAAAGCAAACTGTAGAAGAATGATGGCAAGATCTCCATATATCCAAACTGCTCAGGCCTTGTTTTCTTTCTCCATCTGTTCCCCTGTCTATCTACCGCAAACATACCAGGTGTGAGTGCCGTAGAGTAACACCACCCTTAAGCAGACATGCATGCACACAGAGCACCCACTGCCCCACCTATCTCCCCATTGATTGGTTCTGCTACTTCTGGCGCTGCATGGTTTGCAAAAGCGGCCGGATTTGGCTGTTTGGAGATTTAAGTGTTCAGCTCTCAATCTGACTGGTGATTAATGACATTTCTAGTTGAAAGGAGTAGGTTGGGTGGGGTTGGAAGCTAATCCACTCTGCAGGGATGGACATGTCCATATACCACACAACACACACCTCCAATATAATAATGAGAACACCAAAGGCACTTGTAGTGTGTGTTGCTTGAAGCCAATAAAAAAAGTCAATAGCAGGTCACTCTGACACACCCTACAAATGATGTCATTGAGGTCTATAGGAGACAAGGACGGGCACCGACAATTCAGGGGGATTTAATTCAGACTAGGAGTAGGATCAAATGTTGATTAAGGGATGTGGGTCCAGCAGGCAGACAGACAGAATCACACAAATGTGGAAAACCCACTCTTTCGTTTCCTGCCAAGTTTATTGAGCTTCTGTCAGTTCCCGAAGGAAAAAAGGCAGATATTACAATTTCAGACAAAGACTTGAGAATTTCATGTTAGCTGACAAGGCAGTGACTTGAAAGAGGAGAAGATTATTCAGTTGTTGGTGTCGTTGCACTGGCTTTCTGCAACGATTAGACAAAAATTATGAATGTTATTGTTTTTAGGATAAGTGTAAATTGTTGGCGTCATTCATTCTTTACAGCCCACCCATGGATCTGAGGTCAGCTGACCAGCTGCTGCTCTCTGTTTTAACCAGCCATTTGTGGCTCAGTTACTGTTAGGATCTACTTTTTCTCCAAGGTTTCTTTTGTCCTAATTCTAAGTAAAAAGGTAATTTATTCTAACATTTCTTTTAGATTCATTTGATCTAATATTAATTTTAACTGACTGATTTGTTAATTCCTAATCTTGTAATAACTATTATTGTGAAGCACTTTTGATCTACAGTTTCTTTTTTTTTCTAGATCTATATTAATAAAGCAGCTTGTTTTACTGATCTTTGCATCCTTTACCCATTTTGGAGACCTGATCTAATTATCACTCAGGTCTGCAACAAATGTGCTTTTAATCAAAGCTGTTTCTAATTTAATTCTTTACTTTTCATGCAAAACCTTTAGTTCAGACATGTTGAACAACATCTCACTTCTCTGGACATTATTTGTAATTTAGGTGTGCTTAGATGGAATTCAATGCACAGCGTCTCAAGAGGAGAGGGATTGACATGATTTATGTAGCCAAGCCCATTACCTAAGGATAGCTCTTAGTAATGTACTTAATAAATGCCTTTGTGGGGGCTGGGCTTTAAATGCAAACACATTGTGTCTGTGGTTGGCTGAAAGTGGATTGGACACCTTTTAAGAAACATGCTGCAGTGCAAATGAGGTGAATAAAGATGATGATTATATTGTTGAATGTTTAATATTTGCCCTTAAAATTACTTTTTGCTAACAAAATCCATCCTAAATATTATTCCTCTTCAGTCCCTTCCCTTATCTTTCTAATTGCTTCAAAGTATTGTTACTTATGTCCCATTTCGTATTTCTTCTGCATCAACACCTCCCTCCCCTCTATAATAAGGTCCATATTAGCGTGACAGAATGCAGCACAGCCACTGATGGGAGCCTGCCTGGAAATCTGGGTCAAGGTTACCGAATCTGACTCGTTCTCTTTACATTCTAGCTTTACTGCTCCTTTCAGGCAGTAACTGTGCCTCTCTGGGACAGTTTTATGCCTGCAGAAATCAGCATCAGCAAAAAGAAAAATAAAATGCTGCTGGCTGGACACACAGAACTCAGTCTTTTGTCTTTATTTGACTCCCTTTGACAGCAATAAGCAGCAGTTTGGGTCAAATTCAATTCAGAAATACTTTATTGCTCCCAAAGGGAAATTAAATGTTGTTGTAACTCATATGCTTTTTTTCAATCAGTTGTTGTTAACAGCTGCGGGGAGGTAGGATCATGTGATGACATTCCTTCAGCTTTAAACTGATATAATGTTGTTACACACTCAGATTATAAAATCAGCTTTAACCTTTGCACCTCCACATCAACCCAAGATCTACTGTCTTCTGAGCTCAAACATTAAAAGCTCCTGTTTTAAGATGCAAATGTAAAGTGCAGCATCTTCACAACCTGTGATAAAATCAACAGAAAAGGGTATGCAGCTATGAAATCAAAGAATACTGATATAGTTTTTTTTTGTTTGTTTTTTTTACCTATTATAACAGCATACATTTAATCAGTTCTTGTGATGTAATACTGTAAAAACACGTTACAAAACATTACAGCTTCTGGTGTTTAATAGTAATTATATTGCTGCAAACTTTGCACACCTCTAGATGGAAATGGTAGCCCTTTCTGTCTTTGCAAAATACCTCGTGCTTAGACTGATTGATTAGAGTGAACAATCCTCAGTTGGGTTTAGTTCAAGTGCCTGGTTCTTTCAAGAGCACTATAACCCCATTTACACTAACCTCTGTAAACCAATCCGTGCCGAGTTCGGACCGAACTTGGATTGGTAAACCCCACCGAGTTCTGTTCCTTACGACCATTTACAAACCACGCTTGCACGGTTCCTCATCTCCTAGTGGCGATCTACGGTACTACTGCTCTCTAGAGGTAAACAAGCAAACTGACATGGCGGCGCCTCTAACGTTCAGGAAGTTATGTTTTGTTATAATTGTGATATTTCGTTGTTTGCAGACAGTCAGGTGAAGAAGGCAGCCTTTGGTGAATTTACTGGACAGAACGATAGTCTAATCAGGGCTTAAAGACGCAGGAAACAACAACGAATGTTGAGGGTTATCACACTGCTAAGCAGAATCATCACTGGAAATTGCGTGGCACGGTAGGGAAGCCAGTATTTTCAAGAATGTGTGAAATTTCATGATTCCAGAGGCTGACTGTAAGGAGGTGATGCTGACTGCTTATACGCTTTGTTATCTGAGAACCAAGCCTGAACTGAACTGAGTGAGCCCTACTGATGAACTAGTACCAGTTTAGCATGGTTCTGTTGTGTCTGAAATGGTCTGGTTCAGTTTTGCGTCCCATTTACACTCAACAGTTATCTCGGTTACCGTGCTTGGACTGATCTCAGCATGGTTTCAAAAGGGTAGTTTAAATGGGGCTTAACTTTCAAGTCCTTTTCGGCCAGAGAGAGAGAAGGAGACTGTCCTGTGTTTAGTCCCACCAAATCTACTTAGGCCATTTTCCTGGCCTTGAAAGATTCAAAAGAAGAGCTC